GTCGATTACTCGCGCGAAGATGTACCGAGAACATTTTGTTGCACGTATGTTTACTTCGCGGGGAGAAAAAGGCGAAAAAAGAAATTTGATAAAAAAAATTGATAACGAATTAAATTATACGCAGATGTATTGCACCGTTTTTTTTTTTTTTTTTTCTTACCAGAGATACCATCCAAGATGCGCGGTATACATGTAACAAATTTTTTTTTTTTTTTTCATGAACAGTTTCGCGCAAGAAGTTCAATATTTACCCAACGAGTACACCGAGTCATTACCATCGAAATAACGCGAAGTATGACGAAAGTTATTACAGATAAAAAGAAAATATCATAACAATATACGATGTCGATTGTTACTCTTCGGAAATATTTGTATATTTCTTGAAAAATTGATAACGAATTAATTCATACGCAGATGTATTGCACTAATTTTTTTTCTTACCAGAGATACCAAGATGCGCGGTATACGTGTAACAAATTTTTTTTTTTCATCAACAGTTTCGCGCAAGAAGTTCAATATTTACCCAACGAGTACACCGAGTCATTACCATCGAAATAACGCGAAGTATGACGAAAGTTATTACAGATAAAAAGAAAATATCTTAACAATATACGATGTCGATTGTTACTCTTCGGAAATATTTGTACAATCCGTCAGCATCGCGGTTACGTATCGTCAGGATGATATGTGCCCATAATTATGAAAGTGGTCTAAGTCATATATTTTTTGTTGTCGAAATTACATTGAATTAATTTCGTTTGAAATAATATGGCGTGAAATAACTGATCAACTGATATTTTTTTTTTAATTTTGACTTAGACACTCATAATTATGGGCACATATGATTATGGTGACGTGGTATGTGTTATAAAAATTCGAAGGAAAAAAAAAGAAAAAAAGAGTTACACCCTGTACTTGCATTTAATGGCGATGCGCGCTTAATCGCCGATTCCTCTTCTCGTCCGTGCTCCTGTTTGCGCATACTTGCACGACCGAGAAGCGATATCAGGACGAGGGGAGAAACATTGCTTGGATGACAAGTCGGTGACTCCGAGAAATCGATGCACGTGATATCTGAAATATACAAGCGAGTCAAAATACGCCGCGACGTGGGGAGAGATTTGTCCACATTGTTGCATGTTTCGCTGTTAACGCGAATCTGGAGTTTTCCTTTCCGAAGGCCTTTGGGCGACGCAAGGGGTCACCGATAATTTCGCCTGGGAGTTTCTCCCTTTATTTTTGGTTTTTTGAGGTTATCCAGAGGAAATCCAGGAACGAGGTAAATTTTCTCGAGGAGGATCATCGGGTCCCCGTTTTGCCTCGCGTCATTTCTATACCTATCTCTCGCGTATTCCCGTGACCTATAAATACCGGGGAGGCCGCAACTGACATAATTTTAGCGCGAGCCGATAACCGCGAGTCGCTTTTTTATTACCCTCCTCCGCGGCTGATAACGAGTCGTCAAATCTGGCGAAAAGACCGAAGAGGACGATGGGGTTCGCGGAGACTTCCAGCGATTCACCTATGAGACTTCGAGACATTCACCCGTGAGACTTGATACCGGATAGATGCGTTATCGGAGGCCGCGAATCGGCGATTCGCAATCACCGGCTTATCACGCGCTCAAAGTCTCGTGACTTCCCCCAGAAGCGACCTCGACGATAGGCTCTCGTAAGGTCGGCCTCGACCGGGGTTGTTACCCTGGTCTGACTAGTTCTTTAATTCCACTTTTCTCATCGTGAAACTTGTCGAGAAATTGAAAATAACTCCCGATGAAGACTCGTAAAAGCTCGGCCTCGAACGGGGTTACTTATTTAATTTCCCTTTTTTTTTAATCCTTATCCTTAAACTTGAGAAATTGAAAATAATTGCCGACGACGTCTCGTAAGGTCAGCCTGGAATGGGATTGGCGCCCTGATCTCGCTGGTTTTTTAATTCCACCCCGAAGATATTACGCTTTTTTTTGTTATCATTGCGCGCGTTATCGCTGCGGTAATTTCTTTCCGTCCGCATGGGTGATAAGAAACGTGCGTAGGTCAAGAGATGCTCGCTCGAGGTATCTCTTTCGAGCAGAGATCAACGAGTCCGCGATGATCTTGTTTTTCAGGAGGGCCATATGTGCCCATAATTATGAAAGTGGTCTAAGTCAAAATTAAAAAAAAAAATGAGTTTATCAGTTATTTCACGCCATATTATTTCAAACGAAATTAATTGAATGTAATTTCGAAAGAAAAAATATATGACTTAGACCACTTTCATAATTATGGGCACATATATATACGTATGGTATGACCCTTTTATATCAATTTAAGAGTTATGAAATCTCGTTTGTTATTTGAACTAAGGGGATTAGTATTTCGATTTGTAGGACGTGGGTGGCCGAATGATACGATATCTCGGTCCTTGACCAGGGAAAAGTTTTATGAATTTTTAAGTGATATATGTGCCCATAATTATGAAAGTGGTCTAAGTCATATATTTTTTCTTTCGAAATAACATTGAATTAATTTCGTTTGAAATAATGTGGCGTGAAATAACTGATGAACTCATTTTTTTTTTTCAATTTTGACTCAGACCACTTTCATAATTATGGGCACATATATCCGTCGTATTTGCTGCACAAACTTGGGCATAAGTCAATTTTTCAAAGTTTCCTTTATACGCGTATAAATGCATAATTTTTATTCCTAACGCAGGAGTCGAATGAAGGGTCTTAAATTACCGACATTGTCGATTGATCTTGTTTAGCGGCTGTTAAGGTGAAAATTAAATTTGCCCGGAATTTTCGTGAAAAAAATAGTTTTCTTCGCGAGTCGTCTTGGAAGCGTACGGGCGGATGTGTGCGCTCCTGGGTCCAACCCCGTCTATTCTATTGCGCTCTAGAAATATCCCACAGTCCAATTGCATCCGAGGTAATTTTAGCCCGAGTGAGTGTCCGTGTCGCCTAGGTCGGATTTCTGGACCTCGAAGGCCCGGCGACAATTTATGCAGATTTTTTTTCTTTTTTTTTAACAATCGTAAGGGAAGCAACTCCACGTTGAGGTGGCCTCTCTCGTTAATAAATCCGCGCAAGCTGGACGGATTTAATTAACGCGTGGATGATGTGTACCCTGAGAAAAAGATCTCAAGGAACCAAAGAAATATACCCCTAGTTCAATGAATAATTGACCTGACTCGGAATAAACTGGAATAAATCGGACGCAAAGTTTCTTCGCGATAATGGGAATTCATTTGAGGTTATTCGAGTTAAATAATTCTTCCTTGAATTAGCAATTTATTTCTTTTCTTAGATATTAGACGCGATTTAACGGCTTGGGTTTTAAAAATCCTCGGGATTTGTCGGTTACGCGTGTAGTTACCTTTTATTATCCGGGTTTTTTATTATCGAAGGTCTTCCATACGCCGACAAAATGGCGGAAATCTTCGGTTCGACGACTCGAGAGGCAGCGGCCACCTGTGAAGGGAATTCTCGCGGTTTCGCGGAAATCCTCCGAGATAACGGCGGGGCTTAATTGTCGCGGTAATTATAATTGAAAGTCGCAATCAAGTCGCTCCTGTCGGGGATTCCGCTTCCTCGAGTCGCGCTGGCGGTCCGTCCAAGATGGCGGCGATTCCGTTGCACCTTTGAAAAAATTCCCGGAGCACGTGCGCGTGGAGCTCTCCGGTCGGAGAAACGTGCCACATATTCAAACATGCTCCCCCGTCGGACTGAAAAATTGAAACACTGCTGACGCAGGAATGGGGAGCCTCGAAACAACGAGGAAAGTACCTTTGATAACGTCGTCGGACCTTGAAGTCATTCTCACATACCTTAACTTCATGGAATAACTATTCGGCTCGAATGAGTCGTCGCATTCGATTTAATCCGAGTTAAATGACTAATCCTTGAACGAAGAAAATATTTCTCCCCGTAATCTTGAAAGATAGTTCACGATCTGGATCCTGGAAATCGTGAGTCTGTAAAGAAAAATAGTTTCTAGGGTGGAGGTCCGGAGGGGAGGGGGGCGCCTCCCGACGGCGGGTGGGGGTAGGCCGCGGCGAAGGAGCGAGAGGGACGGAGCGAAAGAGAAAGAGAGCCGTTACGTTATCTCGAATTAGTCGGTCGGCCGAGGCGGCGATTCCTCAGTCGGACGCGGAGAGCGCGAGCGGCAGTGCGCCCGGGTACTTCGTGAGCGTCGCACCGAGGAGCTGCGCGCGCACCGACGGTTGGAGGTTAGCCACCTCTCGAGGCGCGGATCGAGTCGACGAAGCGCGCGAGTTTGAATTTCCCGCGGTGGTTTCCGGTAGAGTGCGTATCGGGCTGGCCAGCGATCGCCAGTGAGTGGTTCGGGTTCGTTCGCGGTTACTTAACCTAGCGCAGCCAATGCGCGGAGGTCCGGCGCGGTCGAGCGCCACCCCTCGAGTGCGCGCCCGGCGGCCGCCGCCTCCCCCGAGCGCCCCGCGCAAGCGCGGCGCTCGGCCAATCGCAGCGCATGCCTCGGGGCGCCACTTCGGCCGGACGGAAGTGCGGCACAACGGAAACGGGCCGGCGTAGCCAATTAGCGGGCGGCGTAGAGTCATAGAGTGCAACGCACCGGTAGAGAGGAGACTCCACGAGGAAACGGGACACGGCCGGACGATGACCGTGGTAACGATCAATTACATCTTATTAGGCTCTTTCTCTCCGCGAAACCCCCCCCCGTGATAAATCACGAAGGAGACCACAAATATCGGATGATCCCTATTAAATCCCGCCGTTTGCCCCGAGAATAATCCTTTTGTAACCGCCCTAGGAAAGAAAAAAAAAATCTCATCGAACCAAAATTACCTCCATTCCAGGAATAATGATTTCACACAAATTGTCGTCATTCCGAATGTTGCGTTTAATTTTCTTCAAATTAAAAAATTTCTTTAACGGGATTTCTTTGGTTCGATGATATTTCTTTTTTTTTCTTTTTTGCTCGGTGCGTTAAAAGTTACCCGGTTGTTTAATTGACACCTTCCCTTTCCGTGTCTTCTAGGTTATGGAGGAGACGAATACGTTCATCACGTGGCCGTCGCGACTGAAGATCGGGGCGAAGTCGAAGAAAGGTGAGTTTTCTCTTGGTTTTTTTTTTTATTTTTTAATTCAGTCTTGTTTTTCCTTTAATTATCGACTCGCTGGTAACGGAAAGTCAAGGGTAACCCTTTCCTCGGTGTGCACGCGACGCCCTCTGGTTTCCCCTCGACGTGGCGCGGAGAAACGCGAGGAGCGACGCAAGAGCCAAAGTCGAGGAGCGTGGAAAAACACGTTATCGTCGACGACTCGATAGGCGAACTCGTCGATCGAACCACACGTGCCGATTGTTTACGTTGCCGGTCGTTTCCACTGCATCGGGAATTTGTCCGTCCAGAGATCCCCGAGTCCAGGAATTTTACCCGACCGATTAGACCCATCGAGTTGGCGACTAAGTGATCGCGGATCTTTTTTATTATCATCTATCGACAGAATCCGCAATTATTTAGTTGCCCACCCAATAGTTTCCCTTCTAATTTTANGTGCCCATAATTATGAAAGTGGTCTAAGTCATATATTTTTGGTTTCGAAATTACATTGAATTAATTTCGTTTGAAATAATATGGCGTGAAATAACTGATAAACTCATTTTTTTTTTTTTTTCATTTTCACTTAGACCACTTTCATAATTATGGGCACATATATGCAAATGAAAAAAAAATGTTTCATTTAAAATGTCACCTGAAAGTTTCACGGGCCCATAGAGGGTTAAGATGAGAGAAAAATCGAGAAATTATAAGCGAAGGGAGGAGAGAGAGAGAGGGGCGATCTTCGGACGATTAAACTCCGCGCTTCCCTAGGAAAGATTTCACTCAAGATGGGAGATACAGATTTTACAGGTTATATTACCATACGTTATATATAGATTTTACTCCAGATCTCGAGGCATTCAATTACCACCAGGTGAGTTTCACCTCGCCCAGGGGAATTAAGGGGGTACGAAAGTGGCAGCCGAAGGGTCAATGCTTCGTGAAGCTTTTTTCCGACCCCATGAAATTTCTTATCAAGAAAATATGAAAAAGACCTGTAAATAAATTTGTAAAAAAAGGAGAAATTTCATGGGTATCGGGACCTTCGTTACGCCCTCCATATTCACGTTGTAAAGTTTGACACGACTCGGTGCATCCAATTTGGAGAAGTTTCACAAACGGGACCTCTTTGACGTCACTTTCGTATCACCTTAAGTCTATATCGGACGGAAGTCGTCCAGCCTGTTGTTTTTTTTTTCCCCATTTCCATGGCATGCACCGTTGCACACATTTTTATGCATTTTCCCCCGAGATAACGTCTCTGGATTATCATGATAGCGCGAGAAGATGAATTTCTCTCGTTTCTAAGGAGTGGAAAGGATTAATCCGTCGCGTGTCGATGCTTGTGCAACGAGTGCATTGTTTCGCTGCACCCTGGTGCAGCTCGCTATTCGTGAGCCCGAGTCGGCGACTCGGGATGGAAACTTTTCGGTGATTCATTCCTTCCGACATCGGTAACGAGAGAGAGACTCTTCTGAGCCTCCTCTGTTTCTCTCTCATTGAGGGGCGGAATACACGAGAACGCGCGATTGTTGGATTTAAAGACCGGAGGAAGTGAACTAATCGTCTTACCATTGTTTCTAATATTTTTTAATATTCCAACACCATACCAGGTTTCCTTCAACCCATTACTTTATACATGTAGCCCCATTCAAGTATTTTAGGAGACTTGAGACAAATTTCATAATCTCAAAATTTATAAATTTTTTTTTTTACGGAAGAAAATCCACCAAGGGAATCATTGTCACATCTCCTCTCTTTCATCACATCTCCTCTTTTTCTCTCTCNACGGCGGGGAGGTATATGTCAAATGTCGAGTTTATACCACGCTAAATTAATTTCTATACCACGGGAACGGTGTATATCGACCTGCAGGTCGTAGTCGCGCATCCTTTCTAAAATGACCGGTCTTCGCCTTCGCCGGCCCCCGAATGATTTAATAATAACGGTGATTCTCGTCGCGCATCGCGGCCGACCTTAAACCGCGTACTGCTTCCTCATGAATTCCGTACACGTCAACGGGGCACTATTTATCACGCCGAGAAAAAAAAAAAAGATCAGCCGACCGAAATACATGTATATTGTCCTAATCACGGGTAATCCCAAGAAATAATTATTTCCTCGAGAAGAAAAATTCACCTTTTCGCGAAGATGGCCGATTTTGCTTGTAGGTTATGTTCGTTGTTTCTCCATTTTGAAACTTGATTATGGTGATGGAGGAAGGAACTTTTTGAATAATTCTTTTTTCCTCTCCTTTCCTAATATACTCGTTTGCATGCACGACGTGATTCATTAATAAATTCATTAATAAAAAAACGTCTTCATTAATAAATATACGTATTTTTTCTAGCTGGATTTAATTTCCAATGGAAATAAACTGATAATTAATTTAAAATAGAGAAATGGTATTTCACGTCTTAGAAGGATATTTCAAGTGAATTCATGTTATGTTCGTTGTTTCTCCATTTTTAAACTTGATTATGGTGATGGAGGAAGGAACTTTCCGAATTATTCTTTTTTCCTCTCCTTTCCTAATATACTCGTTTGCATACACGACGTTCATTAATAATTTTACCATTGTTTCTAATATTTTTTAATATCCCAACACCATACCAGGTTTCCTTCAACCCATTACTTTATACATGTAGCCCCATTCAAGTATTTTAGGAGACTTGAGACAAATTTCATAATCTCAAAATTTATAAATTTTTTTTTTTACGGAAGAAAATCCACCAAGGGAATCATTGTCACATCTCCTCTCTTTCATCACATCTCCTCTTTTTCTCTCTCATTGAGGGGCGGAATACACGAGAACGCGCGATTGTTGGATTTTAAGACCGGAGGAAGTGAACTAAATAATCGTCTAGCCATTGTTTCTAATATTTTTTAATATTCCAACACCATACTAGATTTCGTTCAACCCGTTACTTTATACATGTAGCCTCATTCAAGTATTTTAGGAGACTTGAGAAAATTTCATAATCTCAAAATTTACACATTTTTTTTTTTTTTCGAACAATACCCACGAAGGGAATCATCGTCACCCTGGCCTTGCCGGCATAGTCAATTGATAAACGTGCCCATAATTATGAAAGTGGTCTGTCATATATTTTTTGTTGTCGAAATTACATTGAATTAATTTAGTTTGAAATAATGTGGCGTGAAATAACTGATACTCATTTTTTTTTTTTAATTTTGACTTNCGAATTATTCTTTTTTCCTCTCCTTTCCTAATATACTCGTTTGCATACACGACGTTCATTAATAAATATACGTATTTTTTCTAGCTGGATTTAATTTCCAATGGAAATAAACTGATAATTAATTTAAAATAGAGAAATGGTATTTCACATCTTAGAAGGATATTTCAAGTGAATTCAATTGAAATATCATTCAATTGAAATATCAGCACTTGTAATAATTGATTTCAGTTGTTTTGTTATTAACACAACCGATATATGACCAGGAAGGATTATTGACGGACATGTGTCTATATTTGGCGAGGTTTCTTTTACCCCCGAAGAAGGTGTTCGTGACTCGATTCCGTTACGCACCGTACTTCATTGTATATTATTTCGGCGTTATGCAAGTATGATGGATTTATTGGGCTCTTTTGGACGCGTCGTTTCCGAGGAAAAAAATGAAAAAAAAAATAATAATGAATAAGGGCCCAAGGAAAGTTCCGCTGGCTCTTGTGTGCCGGGTCACGTGAGTCGATTTCTGTTCGCGAAGGAGCTCTTACTCCTTGACGTGTCCGTGAGCGTGAGTACGCCCGAGTGAATCAGGGTCTCGTGTCTTTAAGGTGAAGTGAAACACCCTTCAAATCAGTCGATTCGAATACAACACTTTTTTTTAAGGGTGTTAGACCAAACTGTCCGAAACTTTGACGCATCACTCCTGATCATCTAAGAATTGTCCTGACACATTGAAAATTTGGATCTTTTAACAAAATTATTTAACTCAGCCCAGACCAGAACCAAAATGGCGTCGAGCTCTCATATTTCGATCGATATACAATTATCGGAGGCTCTGATATGAGAACCGAAAGGGTCAGGACAATTTTACGACAATTTAGAACACTCTGGTAATCGATAAACTCGCATTTGAACGGGATAAGGGCAAAAAAAGTGTTGTATGCGCTTCTATGCTAAAACGATGGTAATACGGGGTCTCGGAGTGAAAATTTAATTGACCTGGAAATCACAGATGGCGCAGGGGGTCCCTCTGCAGTCAATTAGGGCCCCGTAAAGCATGAATCCAGAGGATTTCTAGAGTTTTACTTCGATTTCTTGATAATTATTGTACGAAAACGACAGGCGGAGTATGCCATTTGGTACAATACCCAATATAATTCGATATAGCTGTGGATATAAAAACGAACGTCGGCAACGTAGGCATTTAGAAAAATCTTCTTTATCGACGTTGATCAAGTTCCTCGGCGTGTTTCACTTCACCTTAAGGACGAACGGTGGAAAAGCGTGGTTGAGAATTTCTGCGAGTCCTTTCCAGCCTTTTCTTCGGAATTTTTTTTCTCCTTCCTCGAGCGAGCCTCGCCGGAGAGTACGCGAAGACCTGCAAAGGCCTCATGAAAACCGATTACTCTCGATTATGCGACCGCACGTCTTGCCGAGCTTATCCGTCGTCATCCTGGAACTTGTAAAGATGCACGCAACGTCTCATCGAGGGGACCCTCTCGTCGAGATGCTCGAAAAAAGGGATCAGACCGAATCGATCGAGATGAACACTAAAGGGAAAAAAAAGGAAAAATGCCATTGAACCAAGGAGATATTTTGTTAATCCGAAGAATAATCATTTCACTCGGATGATTATTCTTCGAACCTTAAGGTGAAGTGAAACACCCTTCAAATCAGTCGATTCGAATACAACACTTTTTTTTAAGGGTGTTAGACCAAACTGTCCGAAAATTTGACACGTCACTCCTGATCATCTAAGAATTGTCCTGACACATTGAAAATTTGGATTTTTTAACAAAATTTTTTAACTCAGCCCAGGCCAGAACCAAAATGGCGTCGAGCTCTCATATTTCGATCGATATACAATTATCAAAGGCTCTGATATGAGAATCGAAAGGGTCGGGACAATTTTACGACAATTTAGAACACTCTGGTAATCGATAAACTCGCATTTCAACGGGATAAGGGCAAAAAAAGTGTTGTATGCGCTTTTATGCTAAAACGATGGTAATACGGGGTCTCGGAGTGAAAATTTAATTCACCTGGAAATCACAGATGGCGCAGGGTGTCCCTCTGCAGCCAATTAGGGCCCCAGAAAGCTTGAATCCAGAGGATTTCTGGAGTTTTACGTCGATTTCTTGATATTTATTATACGAAAACGACAGGTGGAGTATGCCATTTGGTACAATATTCAATGTAATTCGACACAGCTGTCGATATAAAAACGAACGCCGGCAACGTAGGCATTTAGAAAAATCTTCTTTATCGACGTTGATCAAGTTCCTCGACGTGTTTCACTTCACCTTAAGGAGGTTACGTTTGCGAAGACTTTCTGTGTAGCGGAGATTTTAGTCCTCCGAGATCTAAGCCGAGGTCTTGGAGAGCATCCTCGGGTCACTTTGCAGGGGATTCGACCCCCGGCGAAAATAGGTCCGCACCGGAATGCGATAGGGTCTGGAAATAGCCGGACTTCCGGTTTTAAAGGCGGGTGCTGCCCGGTAGGATTCCACGCGACGTCGGAGGGAAGACGTTGGGTCGGCTCTTCGTGGGTGGCCGTGGGCGAGTCCGGCGACTCTTGACCCGGGATTATCAATTTTCCCGAGGTAGGGATCCCAGTAAACGCTGAAATTAAAATTAGATGTCGGAATCGTCGGGGCGAAACTCGGCTCTGAAGAGGACCTTGACCTAGGGGTCGGTTTTTGGACGACACTTCCTTTCCTTTCCGGGTCGTCCTAAATTTCCAAACGTCGATCTTCCTCACTCTTGACATATGCTAAACGCTTCTTCGCAAAATTCACTTGGACTTCATACTTCCCGGTGTCCTCGAAGGATTTCGCGTTGGCAATACGTGGGACTTCAGGCTCTATGGAATAAAAAAATGAGTATTTATCAAAGGAGTAACAAGTTAATTGGATCCAGGTGATCGGGTCGATCGGGAGGGAAATCGGATAGAGAAAAGAAGAACGGAGGATCGTATTTCTGCACTTGGCTCGAGAACGTGTTTTCCAGCCGAGGGAAGAAAAAAAGGAACGGAGAGAATAAGACTCAATTAAGCGGTATCACTTGCGGTAAAGTCTTCGCACTCCGTGTGGCAATTTGCATTACTTCTACCTCTTGATTCCAAGCTTGTCCTTCGTTGATAATTCCATCGCGATCGTAGCTCATTTAGAGCCTCGGTCACTCATCGGATGGCTGCTCTCGTTTCGGTCTTCTCCAGTTCTCGCATCGACTTCTCGTGCGTTGAACCCTGAACACGCGGAAATCAGATGACCAAGTAACTGGGTGAACGTTGAAACTGGTTTGGGATTTGCAATTTCAATGGAAAGTTACCACGAGCGACGGCGTGCCGAGCCAAGGAACTAACCCTAAGAGGACGGCCCGGGGAAGTAATCGCTAAAGTATGAAAATTACACGTCGAAACGCAAAGATTTACAGAGGAGAAAATACCTTCGCAGGCCTTGGATCTCTTGAGCCTTTCGCTGACACTTTCGATATTCCGTAGTCTCGACGCGAGGCTCTCCCCTCGTTCTTTCTTTCCACGATTACTTTTCTACATTCGACGTAACATCTAAATACCTCTAATGTTCATCGGACACCATAGTGCACCCATGCGACTGCTTTCCTTGGGGTTACCACTTCGTTCTTGCTCGATGGGAAGACACTCGTGCGAAGAAATCCATGCAAAGTGCTCTACAGAATGTCTTCTCGCACTTTCGTTTCCTTTTTACCTTCCTCTGGCTTTTTAACACTAGAACTACCAAGATACTACTATACTACTATACAAAAAAAATCTGCCGGTTGTTCTAGCGTTAAGAGGTAATCTGGAAGCTGCGATGACGATCTGCCCTTCGGTCAGCATGGTCACTCGGGGGAGTTTAACCTGAAAATCTGTAACAATTACATTTTAAAATTAGATCCTGTTTTCGAATACCTAGACGCGAAGGAAAACTATTAACGGAAAGCCTTTAGGCGAATACTAGTGCTTTTTTAATCGCTGGCGAGGTTAACCTAACCTCAACTCGCGGATCGAGGCCACGGGTCGCGCGATCACACGACACGTAATCACGCGATTATGGAATCCGCTGCGTTTTGCATCGCCGACACTCGGATGGTAGATTCGAGTCGATCGTAGCCCCCTTCTATTATTAGAGTCGCCTTAATCGATCCCTTTAATCGATTCTCAGCGCAATCGTCGCTCGGTGATTCATCGGAGTAGCGACGTGTGCGAGCGTCGCCGAGTCGAGCAAGGGTATTAAAAAAGTCTTCCTCTGGGCTTACCCGGTTACCGTTTCCTAATTACTCTCGAAGTTACGTCGAGCTGGGCATTAACGACTGAGCGGGCCAGAAATACTGCACCTTCACTGTCTGAGGAATGTTTTTTTAATCAACCGGCCCGACCCAACCTCGGCGCGGACTTTTCACTCGGCTGTGAACTAGAATCTCATGTCGAGCATTGTCACGCAGTAAAATCGGTTTATCTGCTTGCAGATCCACATATTAAGGTCGCGGGTCGACCCGACGACGTGCGGGCAGCCAAGGATAAGATTATGCAGATTTTGGACACGCGGGTGAGTTTCTTATTTATCAGAATGTTTTTTTTTTTCTTCTTTAAACAAGACTATACGTATAATTTTCGGAGAATTCTCCCACGAGTCCGACCTACGACGGATCGGGGATCATTAATATGAGAAGAGCCGTAAATTTGTTTTCCTCGGGAGGAGATGATAAACGAAATGCTATCGGCCAGTTGGCTCGAGATAATGGGCATTCATGCAGCGAATCGCGAGCGATTCGGAGGGGCATTTGTTGCGTGCCAGAAGGCGAATCGCCGAGAAAGAGGGAGGGAACTAACTTTGATAATTCTCCTTCCCTGCCCCTCTCTTGTAGTACGGCATTGCGACACTGCAACGGGTCTTATCACCGACTCGGTTTATGTAATCGGCGATTCCGCCCAGAGAAATTGTACGTGCGCATTGAACTCCTCGACCTGCACGTAACTACGAATGCGGGACGCGCCGCGTCTCTCTCTCCTTTCCCTCGTTGGAACGAGATTTCGACAATGATTATCGGTTAAAATCGACCGAGGCGCATATTTTAATAATCGTTATCGCATTTCTAACGAGCGAGATCACTGCACGCGGGGATTTTTCACGATAGTCGCGTATTATCGCATTTTCTTTGGCATGTTAAGACGGGCGCGGCGGCGGCGGGAATTTTTAAAATTGCAAATGGCCGCCTCGAGCGGGGAGGTTCGGTTCCTAATCGATGCTCTTTGTAATTTGGGAAACTTTTGTAGACGTTTCTAGGTTTGACCGTGATGATTTGATTTCCAGGAAAGTAATAGCATTTTCTTTGGCATGCTAAATCGGGCGCGGCGGCGGCGGGAATTTTAAAAATTGCAAATGGCCGCCTCGAGCGGGGAGGTTCGCTTCCTAATCGATGCTCTTTTATGAGAATAAGATTTAAAATTTACATCTGCATGGATCAATTTCTAGTCGACGTTTTTTTGTAAAGAAATAGTTTTCTTATCGCGACGTTCCCCAGGCGGGAAATTTCGGAAACTTTAGTAGAAGTTTCTAGGTTTGACCGTGACGATTCGATTTCCAGGAAAGTAACAGGGTAACGATGAAGCTGGACGTGAGCTACACCGACCATTCGCACATCATCGGCAAAGGCGGCCTGACGATTAAGCGAGTAATGGAGGAGACTGGCTGCCACATCCATTTCCCCGACAGTAACCGCAGCAACCACCACGAAAAAAGCAATCAAGTCTCCATCGCGGGAGAAATGGAAGGCGTCGAGCGAGCTCGCGTCCGAGTCAGGGTAAGTGTTGGGTGGGTGCGGAATTAACGTCGCATTAATTGTTTGCTGCTCCCCATTTACCTCGCGGGGTAACGCTACCGTAACGTCGATCATTTGTGCCCATAATCATGAAAGTGGTCTAAGTCAAAATTAAAAAAGAAAATGAGTTTATCAGTTATTTCACGGCATATTATTTCAAACGAACTTAATTCAATGTAATTTCGAAACAAAAAATACATGACTTAGACCACTTTCATAATTATGGGCACATTTATGAAACCTCGAAATTATCCCAACTAAAAAATGGAGAAAAATCCCCCCATGAAGTTTGGAATTTTATTACAAATAAAAGAAATTAAGCCATCAGATCGATGCATTTTATAAGTATTTCTAATATTGTAAGCGGATTTAAAAATTGGAATTTCATGGATGCATAATTAATGGCTGCGTAATGTAAGGAACCACGAGCATCGGAGAGTGGAGGCAGAAATCGAAGGGATGACTCGTTTTTATTTTCTTTTGCAGAACTTGACTCCCCTGATCTTCTCGTTCGAGCTGCCCGTCATGGGAGCCAGTCAGACGGTGCCGGATGCCACTTCTCCGTATGTCATCAAGATCCAGGAAAAGTACAACGTCCAGGTCATGTTCAGAACGCGGCCGAAGCTGCACGCCACCCTGGTCGTGGTAAAGGGGTGCGAATGGGAGGTCTCCTTGGTCAAGGAGGCGACTCTTTTGCTGATCCACTACATGTGCGACAACCTAGCTGTAAGGATCACCCTCCGTACCCCAGGACCCCCGAGGTGCTCTCGGGACCGATCAGACGATGCTTTTTTCAGAGTCAGATCCAGGTGCAGATGTCGATGGAGATCTCGCCTCAGCATCACAGCATCGTCCTTAGCAAGCAGAGCAGCAACCTGAAGATGATCATGCAGCACACCGGGACGCAGATCATGTTCCCCGATGCCGGAGACCCGAATATACCGAACCTGAAGAAGAGCAACGTGACCATAACAGGGTCTATTCACAACGTGTACCTGGCGCGGCAACAATTGGTCGTGAGCATCGTTCTGTATTCCTGGGATTTCCCCCCGATCGGGCTCCTCTTTGTGCCTCCGTTCTAATTTTCCACCCTCGATTTTAAGGGCTCCTTGCCTCTGGTCCTGATGTTCAACCTCCCGGAGGACTCGATGTCCTCGGTGGACACGGAGAACATCTCGCAGCTGATGCAGTCGCTCGACGTCTTCATCAACGTCAGGCACAGGCCGAAGCAGAGCACCCTCTCGGTCATCATCAAGGGCATCGAGAGAAACGCCAGCAACATCTACGAGGCCAGGAAGCAGCTTTTGGGCCACGACGAGCCCAGGGTCCACGCGGAGATCCCCGCCACCTATCACATCCCCAACGCCGGGAGCATCTTTCAAGGCAACTCCGTCAACGGCGCCGGTCAGTCTTCGAGTTAACTCCGACCTGGGATTTTCCTACCTTAATGCAAATTAAAATATCAGGGCGGTCAAATAGAATTTCCACGCCGATAAGGAAAAAAGTGTCATTGAACGTAGAAAACATTTTGTTGATTCAAAGAATAATGATTTAATTGTCATGATTCCGAGGAAACGTTTGTCCCAAGTTATTGGAGTTTACTGGAGTTATTCATTGAATTAACAAGATATTCCGTAGATTCGATGAATATTTTTTTCTCGGTGCGGTAATACGTTCAATGGTAATGGAAATAATACAAGGTTTACGGGGAAAGTAAAATACCGCTTAGCGTAATGAAAATAATTCAACGTGCAAATTAAAATATCAGGGTGGTCAAATAGAATTTCCGCGCCGATAAGGAAAAAAGTGTCATTGAACGTAGAAAACATTTTGTTGATTCAAAGAATAATGATTTAATTGTCATGATTCCGAGGAAACGTTTGACCCAAGTTATTGGAGTTTACTGGAATTATTCATTGAATTAACAAGATATTCCTTAGATTAGATGAATATTTTTTTCTCGGTGCGGTAATACGTTCAATGGTGATGGAAATAATACAAGGTTTACGGGGAAAGTAAGATACCGCTTAGGGTAATGAAAATAATTTAACGTGAGATTCTTTTTCTTCTTCAGGTACTCTCAACATGGGCAGCTTGACGGACAATCTATCCACCATGCTGACGGTCAACACCCAAAATCCACCGTATTGCTTCTCGTTGATGTCGCACTCCCCCAACCCCATGGGGTTGTCTCCACCGTGGGGTTATTCGCCGATCCCCCCGATGTTCTCTTCGGTTCCTATCCACCATCACGCCCCGTACGCGTATCCGCATCTTAACCACTTGCTGACGACGCAGCAGATGATGCAGAACAATATGATGACGCAACCCCATGGGCTGTTGCATCAGGGTCTCTCGGTGAACCAGGCACCCCTCAGCATGTCCAGCGGTTATCAGAGCACCCATAGCTTGAACACGAGCTCCTCTCTTGGCGATAACAAGGACGGAAGTGGTACGTCCAACCAAAATCCGGATATTTGCATTAGACCAGTTGTAGGCTATACCTTCTTCTTTCAGGGTGGTACTTTGGAGAGTCCCTCTTGGGGAATTTTTTCCCCCTTTTAAATTCCAGTCCCCCTGGTCGCTTGATGTTGCTGTTTAATAATCCTGGGATTTTTCTGCAGCTTACTCCTCGTTGAGCAGCGTGTCCAGTTCACTTACCAGTCCCGCGATCAGCCCTCGGAATGCTTCTCCGGACAATCCCTCGGAGGGTAATCTTAATCTGGGTGAGTTATCGTCGAACTGCGAGGCTCGATGGACGTTTTCAGTCCTGACGAGGGGAATTCCTTGCAGATTTGTCGAGTATACTGACGGACCTCTCCGTGTTGGATCGCCGGGCTCCGGGCTGCGAGAAGAAGAGCCTGGAAATGGCCGCGAGGAACAACTTCACGCCCTTCGACTACGAGGAGAAGAAGCTGCGCGCCATCAAGGCGATGCAGAGCAAACCGACCTCTTCCGAATACAGGGTCCCCACTTCCGTGTGGTCGGGTTATGGCCTCAGCCAAACGGCACCTCTTATTATCGGGAGCGACTTGACCAAGGTGAGCGTCCTTTTTTTTATATTTTATTAGCGGTAATTCCATTATCATCGATTATTCCGGAGAGGACTGGTCCCTTGCCCCTTCATCGAGGAGGAGACGTTGCGCCGATTGCGAGCGAAAAAATCAGTTTCTAGAAAGAAAAAAAAAAAAAGGAAGTGCTTGGGTCGAGTAGATTACCGATCAAATGGAATTAAGGCATGTTGCTAAGGGTACTGAATTTTTCTGGAGTCAAGAAATTCCTTTTGGAAGAATTGGATAAATAGGGAAATTCTTTTTTTTTGTCAGGAATCGAGCTCGCATCCTTCGGACCTCTGGGAGGAGCCAAAGACCCCGGTGATCGACACTACAATGGATTTTGGAATCGGCTCCACCAACGATCGCCAGATCGGAATGGCCTCGAATTATATGGAACACACTCCCACGCACCAGTTGGAGAAGATCACCTCGCAGCGTCACACCGACCTGGCGACCACGTTGACCAGTATTGGAATGGAGAAATACATTCGTAAGGAGTTTACATGGAACGGAAGGAAATGCCGCGATACGAGCGAATCAAAAGGTGTTCAGGACTAAGCATCTCGTTTGTTCCCCCAGACCTCTTCGCGTCTCATGAAGTGGACATGGCTACGTTCCCCTCGTTGACCGGGAAGGACCTCCTCGAGATCGGCATCACGGCTTGGGGTGCCAGGCGTAAAATCATGCTCCTAATTTCCGGTAAGCCACTTTCAGAAATCAGAATTCATCAAACCAAAGAGATATTCCTTGGAACAGTGCCAAAGAAAGATTTTGTTAATTCAGAGAATGGTTTTAATTTGAATAAACTCTAATAAATTCTCATAATTCTGATTTGCTAAATACTAGGTACGGTGTTAGAAGAAATACAGATGTCATGGGTATTTGGGGGGGGTTTATTTAATTTCTAAGGTTCCATGGATATGAATATATTTTCAGAAATGAACAAACGGTCGCCCCGCAGGGGTCAGTTCGCCGGCAGTGCGGCCCCGGGCGCGGAACGCAAGAGCTTCGCATCCTCGAGCACGACCTCCGGCGCGAGCTGCGGATTGGAGACCTGGTAAACTCGCCTTAAAATGTAAAAGAAGAAGGAAGAAGGTGCGAAAGAAAAGCTGCATGTTACTTTGGTATTTTAGGAGCCAGCCTCGAAGGTGGCCCGATTGTTTTTCTAGCCGCAACGTTCGAAATTGGATAGAACTTTTTTTTTCTCCCCGTATTTTTTTTTCTTTTTTTTTTTTAAATCGCAGCGCGTTAGGTTTAAGGAAGCGATCGAGTGACCGCTTTCGTTGGATTTCACTTCCCGTTTTCTCTGGCTGGTCGCGTCGGGCAGAAAAAGTCGAGCGAACTCGGGACTCGGCGAGACCGGTTCGATCGGGCAGAAAGGCCGGAGCTCCCTGCGAGCCCGTCTCCCGCCCGCCCCGTCACCCGGGCGGGAAAAAGCCTCGGACGAAAATTGCCCAGCGAATCGTCCCGGGGAACTTTTGTAGAAGAGGTTTCCTCGTATCTCGCACCGATGAACGAGAAATCGGGATACGGCGAGCGGGGGCGGTCGGGCAGAAAAACCCGGCGCGGTCCGCGAGCTCGTTTCCCGTCCGTTCCGTCGCCCGGGTGGGAAAAAGCCTCGGACGAAAATTGCCCAGCGAATCGTCCCGGGGAACTTTTGTAGAAGAGGTTTCCTCGTATCTCGCACCGCTGGGCGAGAAATTGGGATTTGCCACGGAGGCGCGACCAGCCGATCCTCGTGTGCATGTGGCGTGTCTTGTGCGTCTGTGATGAGTGGCGAATCTTGTGGACTCGGTGATACGTAGTCTATGTAACGGAAGCTACGCGGACGGTCGTTCCGAGGTACCCTTGACCGAAGGGAGCGTTTGGCCGAGGGTAACGAGTTTTCGACGAGGTGAGCGTTGGTCCCGTTGGCGGATGCATTCAGCGGCTCCTCGGATTAGCCGAGCTATGCAATAGCGGTGTATTTAGCTTAGACTAAGCTCGAAGCCCGTGCCGAGCGCTCACCGGCGCGCTCCTTCGATTTTTATGTGATATAACTAGTTAACTATTTATTATTCCACTCAAGGGAGACGCTGGATGCACGCCGACCTAAGGACGAGGAGCCTCCACCTGCGGATGCGATTTCGAGCGATCGGCGGGCACTTTGATTTCCCGCGAGGGTTCGGCTTTATTGATTAAGCGCGTACAATGGACCGTTTTGATTTCTCGCGAGCAATCGTTTTTATTTCCCGCGAACGGCGGCCATTTTCCCTTCAGGTTCTCCATTCGTCCCGGAGAAGATGAATTACGTTAAAAAATATCCGATCCGCGGTGCGGACTTTAAAAGTAATACAAAAAAGGATGTCTAGACGATTTCATCGATCTTCTCTTGGCGCGCAGGATTGGAAAATTCGTCAGAAAATCACGGAAAATCGGGAAAATGGCCGATCGGAACGAATAAGCGCGCAATGGTCCCGCTCGCGATCGAACTTATCACGTGACGTCGATCGTTCTATCTCGGACGAGGTCCGTTCTTTCTTAAGACATAAAGCTACCGCAGGTCGAGGAGACCGGTCGCGTGTTCCATATCGATAGTGTAGGGAATCCGGCGATTCCAGCGGTAAGGAAAGATCGCTATTTCGGAGCGATTCCGTCGATCCGCTCTAAGCGTGAGCCTAGATCCATAATTATAGAATAACACGAGAGTACGATCGAGCGATCAGCGAGACACTCGTCGGCGACGATCATGTCTAGGGACGAAAACAGTTTTCTTTTTTTCTTTTTTTTTTGTCCTAATTTTTTTTTCCCCACTATCCTTTTACTAGCCGCAGATGTGCGAAAATAAGAAACACGAATCCTCCTTTCGAACGGTTCGTTTTACGGAAGTAATGGGATGTCGCTTGTCGTAAATTATTTCTCTTTTAAAGCCTTTTTTTTTTCCCTTTTTTTTTTTCCCCAGAAGGAACGTGTTGGGTAACGAGCTCTGCTCACGTACGCGCCATTTACTAGGGACTCGCGATTCGGTGAAATAACGATTGCCGATTTTTGTTGACGCTCAATTTCGCGATGCCACCTCTATAATGGTCTAGTGATTTTCTAGGGAAAATGTCTATTCCCGATCTGACGATACTCGAATTTGATGTGCCACCTTATTAGTGCTCTAAGGAATCTCTTGAGGAAAAGACTAGTTCCGATTTGACGATGTTCAAATTTGCGATGCCGCTTTATTAGCGTCCTAGGGATTTTCTAGGGGAAAGCCGTATTTTCGCCGCGCGACATGGATGTCTCGTCCGGCAGTTCCGGAATCGATATACAATCGGGAAGGCATTTAGCACGAGTATTGATAATGCCTAGCGAACGATTTTTACCCGCCAGAGTTGCTGACCAGATTTGCAATGTTTTATGCGTAAATTATTGTTAACCGAGGCTTTCGGGTGTACGTCTTGTATGCACGCTGACGCCGTGCAAGTCCTACGTTCAAACTTCTTTTTTTTTTGTCTTCTCTTTCCCTCGTTTCCCTTTGTCCGTTGGTAGTAATTAATTATATCGTTAATCGCCCGAAGCGTCGCTTTCCAAGTGCTTTCTCGTCGACGACGACGATCACTTGTCAGAAAGCGAAATCCACGACGTGGCGACGCCGCCGCCATTTTGTTTGCGTTGCGCTCCATTTTTTGTTTCCCCCTCCCGAGCCAGGATCGTTAATCGCCTTTATGTTAACATTAAAAGGCCATTCTATATATACACGTGAAAACGTCAAAATATTTATTAACAATTTTTGCGAGATTTCAGTTTTCGCAAAAGAACTCTTTTTTGCGAAGAATGAAATTTCGCGAGTGTCAATACCTTCGTTAAGCCATCCGTAATCATGTGTTAAGGTTTCAAATTATTCGGTGCACCCGGTTTGGAGAAAAAAATTTTTGGTATTATTTTGACGTTTTCATGCATAACATTTGTGACACTTTCGCAACACCTTAAGGTGGTCTCGTGGTATCAGGATTTTCTTTCGAGGGTTTTTCAATGCCCCAGTCTGGTCAGCCGTTGTTTCGTGGACGTGCTTCGGGGAGTTGAAAAATTCTTCGACGTCGATCGGAAATCCCGAATCGCCTCGATCCTGATCTATGACACGGCGTCAATCGTTCCCTAATCCCCGTCGTTGTTTTTTCGTTTCCTTCTCTTGCCATTCGCTGTGGATCGCAAAATAATGCACGATGTGCTCACCGAAAACAGATATTCGTCATCGGACGACGAATTGCATGAAATAATGGCAGACTAATAACAAATTCCGCGATTTTCAATTCAATTTTACGGCAGATATAGTAATGGTCACTTTATCCGATCTTAAGTTTCCTCTAATATAATGTAAATCGACGGATAAATTGCGCAAGAGGAGCCAAAACTCCAAAAATCTACCTAGGATTACTAGTGATAGATCCTCGATGTTCCTACGTAACGTGTAAAAGCGAAAATGATCCAGATCAGTGCGTGATCTCTTTGGCGGCCGTTAAATCCTTCCGTCACAACGGCAGCCATTAATGTCCGCCACTGTACCCTGCACCCTGTACATTGCATTAAATAAGGCATTAATACCTTCCCCGCGAAAAAAGTGCAGGTAGGGTACAAAGGGAAAGCAATAATGTCTACCACTGTACAAGGTGCAGGGTACAGGGGTAGGCATTAATGCGCTTCCGATTACGACCCGTGAGTACAGGACAGAGAATTAATGTCTGCCAAGGTACCAGCGATATTTGTGATAGCATTTAATGTACACCCTATGATAGTTTAGCACCTAGAGCATGCGCGGTTTACCTATTTTGTTTTCTCTCTACCAAGAAATGGAAGAAATCATCGGAAAATGAACAAAAAAAGAAATACGATTATGACGAGGGAAGTTCTCTTCTCTCCGATCTGAACTCGACATCTCCCTGTTCTCTAAATTCACTACTCTATATTTTTCCCTTCGGTGACTTTTTTTGCAACCAGTAAATGACATAACAATATCTCTATCTGCGGACGCGGGGTTGACCGGGAGGGCAGCGATCGGTTTTCCATATTTTTTTTTTCTTCTCCCCTTATTGGAAAAAATTAAAAAAATTCACTGGAGAGAGCCACGAGCGTCCGTAAATTCGATGAATTTTAAGTGTCGCTATAAATCATATCGTACACCTGTGCCAAATGAAAAATCGAACATCGATGAACGCTTACTCGAAGTATTGGTACTTCGCGGTATTAAAGAAAAAAATTAACTATTCATTATATCATGTAATCACGATTTTTATCTACTTGCCGTCAAAGTAGCCTTATTGGACTTTTTTGTTTCAATAACGATGCAGAACTCTACCGTCTTTTGTGAACATGTTTGGGAATTTAAATGAACCTTGGAAAATGTTCTTTCAATTAACGATCGCTGCCTCCCGGATTCCGCGCGTTTCCTCTTCAGGTCCGAAAATCGCAGGTGAATCGATGAAATGAATACTTAATCGTAAAATCAATCGCGCGATTTGTTGGAAATCCTCTTCGAGGATCGAGGCGATTCGCGATTTCCGATCGACGTCGAAAAATTTTTCGACTCTCCGAGGCACGTCCACAAAATAAAGGCTTGACCAGACTGACGAATCCGGGCATTGAAAAACCCTCGAAAGAAAATCCTGATACCACGAGACCGGTGTTGAGAAAGTGTCACACATGTTATGCATGAAAACGTCAAAATATTATCAAAAAATTTGTTTATCCAAACCGGATGCACCGAATAATCTGAAACCTTAACACGTCACTACGGATATCCTAACAAAGGTATTCACACTCGCGAAATTTCATTATTCACAAAAAAAAGTTCTTTTGCGAAAATTGAAATCTCGCAAAAATTGTTAATAAATATTTTGACGTTTTGACGTGTATATATAGAATGGACCTTTAATATTATCGTAAAGGTGATTAATGATCCTGGCTCGGGAGGAGAAAACAAAAAATGGAGCGAAACGAAAACAAAATGGCGGCGGCGTCGCCACGTCGTGGATTTCGCTTTCTGACAAGTGATCGTCGTCGTCGACGAGAAAGCACTTGGAAAGCGACGCTTCGGGCGATTAACGATATAATTAATTACTACCAACGGACAAAGGGAAACGAGGGAAAGAGAAGACAAAAAAAAAAGAAGTTTGAACGTAGGACTTGCACGGCGTCAGCGTGCATACAAGACGTACACCCGAAAGCCTCGGTTAACAATAATTTACGCATAAAACATTGCAAATCTGGTCAGCAACTCTGGCGGGTAAAAATCGTTCGCTAGGCATTATCAATACTCGTGTTAAATGCCTTCCCGATTTTATATCGACTCCGGAATTGCCGGACGAGACGTCCATGTCGCGCGGCGAAAAGACGGCTTTCCCCTAGAAAATCCCTAGGACGCTAATAAAGCGGCATCGCAAATTTAAACATCGTCAAATCGGAAATAGTCTTTTCCTCTAGAAATTCATTAGATCACTAATGATGTACCATCGCAAATTCGAACATCGTCACCTCGTTGCGCCACGTTTTTAATACTAACACCGAGTGACTTTTACAAGTAACAAAAAAAAGTAAAAAAAATTGCTAACGAATAGCGCGATTGATTTTACGATTAAGTATTCATTTCGTCGAATGGGGTTTTCGGACTCGAAGAGGAAACGCGCGGAATCCGGAAGGCAGCGATCGTTTATTGAAAGAACATTTTTCAAGGTTCATTTAAATTCCCAAACATGTTCACAAAAGACGGTAGAGTTCTGCATCGTTCTTGAAACAAAAAAGTCCAATATGGCTATTTTGACGGCAAGTAGATAAAAATCGTGATTACATGATATAATGACTAGTTAATTTTTTTCTTTAATACCGTGAAGTGCCAATACTTCGAGTAAGCGTTCATCGATGTTGGATTTTTCATCTTGCCCGGGATTTTTTTTTGCTTATTTTCCGGTGATTTCTTCCATTTTTTGGTAGAGAGAAAACCGACCATCCAAGAGATTGCGCATGCTCTAGGTGCTAAACTATCATAGGATGTACATTAAACGCTATCACAAATATCGCTGGTACCTTGGCCGACATTAATTCTCTGTCCTGTACTCACGGGTCGTAATCGGAAGCGCATTAATGCCTACCCCTGTACCCTGCACCTTGTACAGTGGTAGGCATTATTGCCTTCCCTTTGTACCCTACCTGCACTTTATTCGCGGGGAAGGTATTAATGCCTTATTTAATGCAATGTACAGGGTGCAGGGTACAGTGGCGGACAATAATGTCTCATCGTATCGAAGGTTTGTCGTTTCTTGAAACTCGTCACCAAACAGCGAGAAAGATAAGGACAAATATTACTTTGGTTAAAGGAATTCTTTTTATCGATAAATTGAATTTTTATGTACATTATATTAGAGGACCTTTAAGATCGGATAAAATGACTATTACTGTATCTGCCGTAAAATTGAATTGAAAATCGCGGAATTTATTATTAGTCTGCCATTATTTCATGCAATTCGTCGTCCGATGACGAGTTGCAATCTTCGGTGAACACACCGTGTATTATTTTGCGATCCACAGCGAATGACGAGAGAAGGAAAGGAAAAATCTATGACGGCGATTTAGGAACGATCGATGCCGTGTCATAGATCAGGATTTCGAGCGATGCCCGAAAATGTCTCGGCGAGTGGAATGGCCTCCGTGGCTCGCGTTCTGTTGAATTGTATTATAAAGAACATTCCGACGATAATAATTTAAAATCAAATTGTAATAGGGTAAGAAAGTCGGAAGGTACTAATTTAAGAGTGCTTCTGTGTTTCCGTGTACTACTAGTGATAAGTAGGCTTAATAATCGAGGGACGTGCCCGCTCATCTAGCAGGTACAGCAACTAATAAATTAAATTAATGAACACTATATCATATTAGGTCGTACCCAAAGGAGAATGTTTTAAGATAGTCCGGCATGATATTTTTATATGATATGTAATCGAATATTTTGATAAGCAGCGCGTATACCCTATATAATGAATTATTGTTTGTTTTGAGGAGAAACCTAATCGATGCCTCAAGGTGATGTTGCATTGAAATAAACGAGGATAATTTTGTATTGCTATTTTTTAATAAAAAAAAATACTAAGTCTACACCATCGGACAGAATTTCCCTTTCCTTAAAAAAACTGTTGATCGAGGAAGAGAACGGAGGAATCGTCCATTGCTGTTCGTCATCGAATGTTTGTAAGTTCATTTCGGCTGTCGAGCTTCGCAGTTTCTTCTCAGGACTCACATTTTATGATGCAGACAGAAGGGTCTAATTGTGAATATAAACCGTCATGTTTGCTGCATGTAACTCGACGTCGCACCCAGGACAAAGAAATCTTTCGGTCGCCGTGAAGAATGCGTTCAGGCAGTAGTAGCAGAAAATATGTTCACAACCTGCGTGGCATGGCAAAATGGGAGTTTCGTTGCATTGCGGACACTTTGTGGCAAGATTCATTCTTGGATGTACATTCTGATTAGCGATCCCTTTCCGTTTGGCCCAAAATCTGTACAACGCTTGCATAATGCGAGGGAAATTAATCATCGGTAAGGAGATGGAGAACAATTCCATCAAACCGTGCCACAACAGCTCACGAGTCATGTACGTGTATCCTATATTCCTCGGTTTGTGAGCAGTAGTGGATTGGCTGGATATCCTCAAAACGTGTTCGATCGTACGAGGTCTTGTTCCACGATGTAGAAATAATAATAAATTAAGAAGTTCTATTACATCGATTACATTGGCCACGTACTCTATGCAATATTTGATTCTCTCTCTCGTCGAAGTTGTCACGAGTCGAGCATCCGCCAAACGTTCTTGTAGATACTTTGGTACGGTTGACAATACAAGATATAAGATCGCTTTCCTCTGGGTAAAATCGGTGTATCGCAGGTTTAAGAGCTGTTGGCCAAAGGTCGATCTATCTTTTCGCAGGGAGAAGTACCAAATAGCAATTTTTATAAGTACGTTAATTTCTGGTTCCCACTGCTCGACCTTCCCAGGAAGACATATCTTTGTAATCTCTTTAGACTGAGTCTTCAGGACATTGTAAATTTCATGGTCAAGCTGTACTGCATCCACCTGATTAACTCGAGAAACATACGTCGACGAAGACATATCGTCCCTAGGTATGCAAACGAAAACGGATTTGAAAATGTCAACCCGATTATTCTAAAATTCTAACCTAACTTTCCCACTGCTTTCGGAGTCTATCTCCTGGCCTCCGTTTCAAGTGAATAGAAAATGCAGAAAACGGTATTCACGGCATTCCAACTCATTTTTTATACAGCTCGAATTCATTATTAAATCATATTACGGAATATCATCACTCGTCCGACGTTAAACACAAAACGGGAGATCGCTTACTCACTGATTTCGTCGCCGCTGCGCAGTGCCGCCATCTGACGAAACTCAGAGTCCATTCTCCTTTTCCAATGAAATGACATCCCCAGGTTTTCGTATATTACAGGACGGTACAATAAAGTACACCATTTTGTTACTTTTATAAAAACTGTTTTTTTTATAACCTCTCAAAAATACGTAACTACTTTCCACGTTTATCATAACCTCCCGCGAATGCATTCTACGTCAATACGTTTGCGCAGAACATTAGCCAATCAAAAAAGTTAGGCACCAAATACTCGTCACCCTCCCGCCGGTAGCTCCCCGCCAACCAGGAGCTCCCACCCCGTCGGTAGCTCCCCTCCCGCATTGCACTCGGTCTCTATATTCCTATGTCTATGGGTTCATTCCAGAGTAGCGTCCGGGAGGTGGCGCCGCCCGTGGCGCGCGCATCCAAAATGGCGGCGGAGCCAACAGTTCCGCTCGAGTCCGCAGCAACGGAGCGTCCCGGTTCGGCCGCGAGTCGCGACAACTGGCGACAGCGAACGGAGATGCGTGTCGACGCTCTCTGGGTGGACGTCGAGCTCGTCGTCTCGGAACTCCAGAAGAGTGGAGCCTAGCCGAAGTGACAGAAGCGTGAAGAGCAGCAGACGGTTGTTCGTCCTTTGAGGTTACGGCGGCCGGCCGCCATGTTGGAGTAACGTCAGAGCGCGCGAGGCCTCGCTCCGTCTCTCTCGCTCTCCCGGCCCGTCGCGGCGAGTGACTCGGTTGCCGATCATGTTTCGAAGATAGAGGCGAAGTGGCCGCCTGCGTGTCCGTCGAGCCAGCGCGACGTCGAGGCGACGCATCGGAATTAAAGCCGGGACGAAGCCACCTTGCCAGGTAGGTCTTCGGGGAATTATGTAATAAGGGCTGACAAGGCTCGCGCGAGATCTCGCGGTCTCTCTCGCCGCCGTCGCCGTAGCCGCATCGATCCGGCGCCGGTGACAGCTAACCTCAAAACCGCCGCCGCCTCCTAACCTCCAAGACGCGCCTCCTTCCTCGGTCACTTTCAAGGTTAACCGGCGACCGCGCGCGCCAGGAACTCCGCGGAGGAGTTTGTTCACCTGCTCGAAACCGTCCACCTAACCTCAAACGAGCGCGTCGTGGGTGTCCTCACGGCGGCGGCGAGTGCTCCAGGTAAGCCCTTGGAGGATTACATAATAAGCCTTTCGGGGCTCTCGCGAGACCTTCGCCGCGCCATCGATCCGACGCCGTGACAGCTAACCTCAAAACTAACGTCGCCTCCTAACCTCCGGCACTTAATTCCTTCCACTGTGGCTTTCAAGGTTAACCGGCGACGACAGGAGGATATGTAGACTCAGCTACGATAGATAGATAGCTAGGATTCTTTTGGTGTCCCGTATGATCCGTTCCCAGGGTAGAACTCACTTCCAAAGCTCATCGATCGCTCGCTCAAGGTATGGCACTATTTTCCAGAGATTATAGACTTTGGTATTCGATACGTCGGATGACTCCACGTGAGGTTGTATGAAATTGTTTCGGAAATAATTGTAGATTATTGGTTTAATAGCTTCGTACGATCATGGGATACTCGAGATTACTCGGTTTGATAGTCGACGTAATTCGGACTCGAGATACAAGGAACGTTTCCGAACACCCCATCCCTGGCGTGAGCTTTTCCTTGGTTCGCTTTCGCTTTCCAAGTATCCCTGTATGAGTAGCCCTTTGTGAGGAAATCGGATTTCATTGACGGAACACATCGAGGCGGTCCAAGTAGTAAGTACATCTCCGTAGGCGTGAGGCCTACTTGAGATTCGTTAACACTCGTTATGACACCCCTCGCGGTTGGTGCGGAAAATTCTGCCGCAAACCGGATCCGGTTTTCAATCGGAATTAAACGTTGGGAATGGCCTTTGTCATCCGTTTCAGATGTTGCAGTCGAAGGAGAATTCAAATTAACGGGGGCATTGTGATTAATTTTGGTACGATTACTGTATCGATGTCCTTTGTGTTGCTTCTGGAGGAGGGAGAGAGGTGACCGGAGCGTTTTCAGAGGATTCACGGTATCCTGGCTGCGTTCGCGGGAAGGAACTCGCGAAAAGCGCTTTTCACTGCGTCGAAAGCGCTCTGGAGACTAATGGGACCGGAGGACGCACACTGGCGCCTTTAGAAAACGAAGTGCTGTCGTCCGGAAACCCTGCAGATCGAATATTTGCCGGTGAATGGACCTAATGGCACTTCCATCGGATTGATTGGGACTCCGGAGAGCCCGCGTTCGTGCCGCGCTTGCAAACGCACCGCCGCTCCGTGTAACATTATCGGAAAACTTCCCTGATAAAAGCGTTACCGAGTCACCTCGTCGTCCAGCCGTTTAAGGTGGTACGAGACCTTTAAAAAAATCGGCCCATTTGTTAACTACAGTTTAGACAGAAAATTGAATTCTTTTTTATCAAAAAAAAAAAAGAAATGTAAAAATCAAATGGAAAATTTCGGGACATTTTTTAGGGGCTCATAAGTCGTGTGCTGAAATTTTTCAGCTAGTTTGACGGAGTATCCTCCGGAAAAAGGGTTCTTCGGGACAAATCGACTTCCAGTAATCTAACGAATCTTTATCTCCTTGCAGATGACGTCGAGGAAGGGATGCCCCAGAAGAGCGGTCTTCCCTTAAAGCCCCTGCTTCAGAACCTTGCCGGATCGGGACTGAAGGTACCGTCTCCGTTATCGTTATCGCTGTAATGCCTCTGAAAAAAAATTCGTAAACCTCCAAATACCCATTCTTTACAATGTGAATGTGGAAGCTGTAAGGAAGGTCCTGACACCCATGATATTATCATTTTTTAATTTAAACATGTATATAGGAATTTTTAAAGAATTAAAAATATCCCGGATTAATATCGAGAAGAGCGCGATTGTAAATGGATAGGGTAGATGGATTATTACAAACAATCGCGGAGACCGATTGTAAATAGATATCGGAGATAAATACCGGGGAGAGGAGCGTTTTCTGGATCAAAGGAGAGCGTATGTGGAGGGATCGGGCCGATTTGCATACTCGGCCGGCCCCTTGGCTATGGCCTTAATTTCCGCCGACGCGGAAGGCCCGCGCGAGCTTCCACGCCGGCCGATCGATTCCATTCTTACGTGGGTGTCGCGCGAACTCGCGACGAGGGTTTCTCCCCCTTTCCTCCGAACTCCGGTTTTTCCTCCCCGTCGCGACCGTGGGGAAGAAATTTCGGAGGTCGAGGCCAAGTCGAGCTGGCGCTTTGCCGCGTTTTGTCGAAATTTGCCCCGTGGAAAATTAAAAAAAAATTTCACCGAACCTAAGAAACACTTTGTTAATTCGAAGAATTATTATATTGCCGCGTTTTGTCGAAATTTACCCCGAGGAAAAAAAAAATGTCACCGAACCTAACAAACACTTTGTTAATTCGAAGAATTATTATATTGCCGCGTTTTGTCGAGATTTCACCCGAGGAAAAAAAAATGTCATTGAACCTAAGAAACACTTTGTTAATTCGAAGAATTATTATATTGCCGCGTTTTGTCGAAATTTCACCCGAGAAAAAAATAATGTCACTGAACCTAAAAAGCACTGTTAATTCGAAGAATAATTATATTGCCGCGTTTTGTCGAAATTTCACCCGAGGAAAAAAAAATGTCACTGAAGCGAAGAAACACTTTGTTAATTCGAAGAATTATTATATTGCCGCGTTTTGTCGAAATTTCACCCGAGAAAAAAATAATGTCACTGAACCTAAAAAGCACTGTTAATTCGAAGAATAATTATATTGCCGCGTTTTGTCGAAATTTCACCTGAGGAAAAAAAAATGTCACTGAAGCGAAGAAACATTTTGTTAATTCGAAGAATTATTATATTGCCGCGTTTTGTCCAAATTTGCCCCGAGGAAAAAAAAATGTCACTGAACGTAAAAGATACTTTGTTAATTCGAAGAATTATTATATTGTATCGCTTCGAGTTAACGTTCCACGAGATCGCGGGTAGATTTGTTAGGGCTTAAAAACCAACTTTTTGCAATTAAACGGACATACGTCTTCGACGGAAGGAGGAGAGAGAGAAAGAGAGACTTTTATGGGCATTTTTATTAGGTTCGAGATGTCGATACTTTTTGTTATATCGATCCCTTTTTTTTTTAATGTATNATTTCTTTAAATTTGTGGAAGGGCAAAAATGGATTTTTGCAAGAATTTTTGAAACATAAACCGATAGGTACCGCCAAGGCGGGCGAGATTCCGAGTTCGTCGCACCTGCGAAATCGAGGTGGTCCATCGGAAGCTGAGCCCAGAGGATCTCCGGGATCACGCTCGATTTTCCGGAGATTTGGGGCAGGATGGTTAGGATCGAGAGGACATAAATTTCGATACCGGATATTCCCGTGGCACGTGCCTATCGGGTCGACGAAGAGAAGGAATTCCTCACCGAGACAGGGAAATATTTTTACCTCAACGATCTCGTACCCTGATTTATTTTTTTTTCCCCCCTTTTCCTCGATTCTCAAGCTTTCCGTAATTTCGGATCGGTGGTTCGCGATGAAAGGAGGAAAACCGGCGCGGCCGAATGCGCCGGGTAAAATTGGCGCATCGATCCGGCGTCGTTAAAGCGCGGCCGTCCCAAGGGTCTAGTGTCGTTATTGCGATTGGAACACACTCGACGAGAAATGGCGTTGCAATTTAATCACCACGACTCGTCCGGTCGATCGATGCCAAGTTTATTCAGGCCACCCGTCGACCGTGGACACGTATGTCCGACTCCCAGAGGGGAAAACCAGGAGTTCCTTCCGCGGGGGATCGATCGCGATCTTCGACGTCGATCGTTTGTCGATACTTTGGAGTTGAAGTTGGTGGAAAATCCACCACGTGGAAGAAATCCACCCGAGAGGTCAAATTTGGGAGACGATACTTTGGAATTGAAGTCGGTGGAAAATTCACCACGTGGAAGAAATCCACTCGAGAGGTCAAATTTGGGAAACGATACTTTGGAATTGGTGTCGGTGGAAAATCCACCCGAGAGGTCAAATTTGGGAGACGGTTCGGAGTCGTTGACGGATTTCCGTTTGTCGGACTCCGTTGACGCGATCGGGCTCCCGGTTGAAGGCACTCGAAAGACCGTCGACGGGTCTCGGGAAGAGCGGGAGAGGAATTCGACTCATCCCGGTCCCGGATCGGCTCCTCGGTCCGCAGTCCGGTGGAGTCGACGTGGGGCGAGGCGCGGCGGAGTATTGATCGTGGGGGCGATTTCCCTTCCCTTCCCTTCCCTTCCCTTTGCGACCCTTTCCGCCGGCCACCCCCGACCGACGTCATCCGCCCCGTTCGTGACATTCGCGAGAGAGCCGTGCACCGTGCACCACCGACGACCTCACCGAGCGACGTGTCTCGACTAAGCGTCGGTCCGGATTTGCCACCCAATCATTTCCCGACCTTTCCCGCGAGGTCCCAATTTCGAGATGCTCCGACCTCGAGGACGTCAAAACTCGCGAGCTCGTTATTTAACGACGTTGCAAATCCGCGAGGTTCCAATTTTACGGTATTTCTAAATTCGAAGGCGACGTCCCGACCTCGCGATGCTTCGAATTTCCGAATTTCTAATTTCGATATCGTTTTCAACTCGGAGCGCAATTTTCCGACGTTGCAAATCCGCGAGGTCTAAACTCGAAGGCGACGTCCCTACCTCGCGATGCTGCAAATTTCCGAGGTTCTGATTTCGATACTGTTTTCAACTCGGAGCGTAATTTTCCGACATTGCGAATTCACGAGGTCACAATTTCACGGTATTTCCAACCTCGAGGCGGTCTAAACTCGAAAGCGACGTCCCGACCTCGCGATGCTTAGAATTCCGAATTTCTGATTTCAATACTGTTTTCAACTCGGAGCGTAATTCTCCGACTTTGCAAATTCACGAGGTCCCAATTTCACGGTATTTCTAAACTCGAAGGCGACGTCCCGACCTCGCGATGCTTCGAATTTCCGAATTTCTGATTTCGCAATGCCTTCAACTCGGAGCGATCCAAATTCGCGAGCTCCTAATTACGCGACGTTCCGACCTCTCGGCGTCTTAATTTCCCGATCCTCTGACCTCGCGACGCTTTAAATTCGCAAGCCCCTAATTTCACGACGCTCCAACCTCTCGAGGTCCTAATTTCACTTCGTTCCGACCTCGCGAGGTCCCAACTTTACGTCGCCGTAATCTCGCGAGGTTCTAACTTCGCGTCGTTCCAACCTCTCGACATTCCAATCCTATGTCGTCCCAACAATCCATATCCAAGTTTCTCGACATTTTCCCTTCCGGTCTATCTAACCTCGCTACATCCCGGCTGACCCATAGTCGACTTCCTCCACTTTTCGACCTCGATTTTTCGCCTAGAGAAGAAAAAAACCGAGAAATTCCATTTTTTCGGCCTCGTTTCCTCGAGACTTCCAATATATGTATATGTTACCGTGAATGACCGAAATTGGAGAATGTCGACTTTCACCGNCCTTTATTTATTTAATTATTTATTTATTTATATTTTGAGGAGGGGATTCGTACCTCGTAGAATTTCCGCGTTAATCTCTCGGGACGTGCGGGGGTAATTTATGCATTTCCGACGTTTCCTCCCAGGGATGATCGAGGGGGTTAATCCGGGACACCGGGAGCTTCCGCGAGGGTGGGTCTCCGGAAAACCGCGGATCCTCGACGCCCCTCGTCTAATTAACCCCCGACCGCGCCATTACGCCCTCCTCTCGCGATCTAATGAAATTAAAATCTCCGCCTTGTCGCGGAGATTTACGACCCCCGAGTCGTTCTCCCGGTCTCATATATACGTGTACATGCATTTCCCGGGGGCTTCTCCGCGACAACCCTTCCTTCCCCTCGTCCGGGGGAGGAAAGTCGAAAGTCGAAACTTGGGCTCCCGAGATCTTGCGGAGGGGATGGACAATTTATATCTTGTTCCCAACTTGCGCTCGACGACTAAGAGCAAGGCGTCAAAATGTAGATATTTCACTTTTCTTTTTACTCTAAGGGAATGTCGAAGTTTTATAATTTTTTTTTTTCCTCTGAAAGTGTTTTAAGACATCCTAAGTTTTCTCGTCGATCGAGGAAGTCGCTCTCACCCCCTGATAGGTTAGGATAGGTCAGCGTCAACCGACCAAGAACGAGGGGTGAAAATGTGGATTTCTGTTTTTCTTTTTTTTTCTTTTTTTTTTTTTTTGAGAAATCCAATATCTGCCCCAGTTACCGCGACATGGTTATAATTTTAACACTTAATAATCGAAGGCCTGGTCGATCTAGGAGTCGCGTTCGGTCCCGCCGTGGGGTAGGTCGGGGTGTCGCGGCCCGCGCGACATCCGTTAACGCGCTCGTAAACATCGTCGTTTGGATCGCCAGCGGTCGGCAATTTAACCAACTTTCGACATAGCGGCGAATCGGCCACCACCGAACTGGCCCATTAAATCTATTCCCGGCTCCGTCGTCCTTGGAGCGAGAGAGAGGGGACATAGATCACCGGGTCCATTATTTCGACGCCCGGGCCATCCCCGGCGAGCCGGCTCCCATTATCGCACTCGACTCCTCTCGGGGCGTCTTCTGGATTTATCAATGGCTAATTAAAAGATGGACGGGTATTTTCGAAGTCGGAAGTAGCTTCGGACGAGCGTCGAACTCGAGCTGTTCGGGAATTTGTTAACTAGCCGTGAATCCCTGACTTAAT